AGTAACAAACGAGCACATGGTCCCGTGAATGGACGCATAGACACCTACATTTAGAATACTACATTCTACATTCCTCCATTAAGAATCAAAATGCAGATGCGTTGTCACCCCTGAGAACTAAGTTCGATTGCTTCGTTTCTAGTAAAAAGTATCACAGGTTCTCTATACTCCTCATACGAATACGTAACAATTAGGCTGCTTTATTACGCTGGTATTCTGTGTGAGCATGGTCCCACTAGGGTAAAGCCGACCCATTCGTCCTACAACCATAATATAGTTGCAGCATAGCTCTACCGTTTGTTATTATTCCAATGTCGTTGTAAAATTCAGATACCGTGGAGCATAAATTACTTGAGACAGATTCTAAAAATATGTTACGTATCTATTTTAAAATTAATTAAAATTCACTTTACAACACAAGTCACGCCTCCGATGAGAGATCGATTTCAAAAAAGATTTATTTGTGCATCTGTCTCGCATCTTCGTTGCGATGGACGTTAAAGTTGATTTGTACATGGAATTCATCACACTGTAATTTGAGCCAAATACAACAACACAAATGATGCAGTTTTAAAGATCAAAGATTCTTATGATTTAAAATAAGTTGTTGTTAATAATAGACTAAATAATTTCTTGTGTATAAGGACGCCATTTTGTACGGACGTTCATTAGGATTAGTTCAACTCAGCTTCCTATTTCTTCCACTTATATAATATAGCAGTGCAACTACTGCGGATATCGATCTCAAGAAAAACATGAAGTAAATAAAAACCATTTTAAAATTCACAAAGTTTTTACGAGTCTTTTAAAAAAAGGAAAATAGAAATATATACATAGCTATCTTCAAGCCACGGTCCACTTACGAAAATTATGGAATGAAATGGGTTGATGGACTCTCTTACGTGACTGGGACTCGGTGTTTTTTTAATAGGATAGGGTGACAAACGAGCACACAGTCCACCAGATGGTAAGTGGTTGCTGTGGGCCATAAAAAGGGTCTCCGGTTCTCTACACTCACCATACAAAACACAGCAGCATTAAGTTACTATTAGACGCTGGTATTCTGTTAGAGCGTGGTCCATCACCGGTCGAGCGACCCATTCGTGCTACAACTATACTACTAATTTAACTGCAGAATGGCTCTACCGCATAAAAACCTCTTCCGCTTATTTATGCCGCCAAGTTACAGTGCGTGAGTGAATGTGTTTTGGTATGAAGGTTATAAAGTGCCAGTAGGACTACATATTATGAAGTAGTACATCTTCATACTCAGATGTGACAACATATCAATAGCCAGATCTGTTTAAAGAGTTGCAGGTGTTAATGGACTGCAGTAGCAACTTACCATCAGGTGGACTGTAAGTCCGTTACGTACCTCACTTTTATAAAAAAGAATCTGAAATAATCCTTCAGACGTCAATTATGATATTTGAAAACAACAGCTGTTAAATATCTCTACAAACCTTCCAACGTGTTTTCTGAATCCCTAACAGGATAAATTTAACATCGACCTGTAACTAGGTCAAAGACGTCAGTGGTACAAGACCTAATTATTCCCTGAGTCATTTTCATTATCGTACTGTTTTCTCAATCGGGTGCGAATAAAGCCCATCACGAATGAGTACACGTTTATTTATAATATTCACGAACACAACAGCTAAAATTCCTGGAATTATTGTGACATATTGTTCATTAGTCCGAACTAACCTGCAGTCGTTTCAATTCAGCATTTTGATCTAATATTATATGACAAATAAATAGCTTCCTTCCGCAGTCTTTAATTCCGTAAAGTAACCTACGGTCGATTTATATATGCTCGCATGCATTTAAAAATCGATACATTTATATATTTAAACTGAAAGTTGTTACAGTATTGGAAAACTAATGAAATGCAAATGGTGGTCATATCGCTCGAAGCAAGGACTCATAAAAATACGCGTAGCAATTTGCACAAAATGCATGATCTCTTTTATTCAGACTGACATCTCAACACATACTAAAGCTAAAGGTGTGAAATACACAACTCTTAGTCCACCTAACAAAAATCTATTTTAATGTTAGGGTAAAGGCCTTAATAAAGAGCGTTTGGCGAAGCGTACAGCGTGACATTAATACACTGTTGTAATGCACAGTGCGTGCCGCTACACCATAAGCCTCGCCCCCCGTTCTCCATAGAAGCTCTAGCTTTAAGCTTCTTGTGCTTAACACATAAACGTCTACTGGTAGACATGGATCTCTCCCGGAGGGCAACCCTAAAGGGAGACCATAAAATGCCTCAATCATAACGCTTGGCAAGCGTCCAGTCGTCTCGAACCTTTAATGCTGCAGGCCGTTATTTGTTTAAGTATTATAAGTCTGAGTGTAAACGAGATGCTTATACCGCCATCTATTGGTGCCCATATGATTTTTTTAGCATTTCCTTTAGTCGTCTCTTACGACACCCACGAGACGATATGGGCTGATCTATTATCATAGGTTGACACCACAGAATCAATTTGCAGATGCTTTGCCAACCTTAAGGACTACCAGTTTAAAGGGTCTCCGATTTTCTTCTCTCACATAATATGTGCTAGCATAGCCCTTCCCCCAGTCAAGCCGACCTTCGTGCTACAGGCGTTATACGTGACTGTCACGTACTATGACAAACACTCTTTACTAAGATCTGAGTATGTGATCTGAGGACGGAGTTTTGACGGAAAATTGACAACTAGCGAACCTTGCTCCTATTTTATTCCTTAAACAATTGTTTGAATTTTAGCACAAGTTTTTACATGTCGAAATACGTAAAAGTGGTGCGATATTGTGTACTAAGTGTCTGGGTATGTGAACTATTAGTGAAAACGACGAAATCAGAGCGCTGGTGTTAATAATAAACCTTAAGATATTTTGTTCGCCTAGGCTCGAGGCGATTTAATAATTTGAGAACCTGTCGTCATCAACTGCTTGCAGGGTTAAGCTGTTGTCAAAATCTCCCAAAAATGTTGCATTGTGACGCATCAGAATATTGTAATGAAGTCTTACAAATATTTTCGAGTATATCGAGTTCCTAACCAAATAAATAAGATCTGGGGACTAAAATTAACCTCGTAAGTTTTATCGCCCAAATAAGGGCTACCATGAGCGCTCCTAGCAATGAATTGCTACGCTAAGGTCCGCATATTCAAATACCAAAGTATTTATCTGACCTACAAATAACTGTTCCAGGTCTGATGTTGCTTAAAATATGTTTGTCTTACATAATTATTTCTTATATTTATGCAAACACTACACATTGATTAAAACTACTTTTACGGATTTTATCGCGTTTAATTTTAATTCAAATTAATTAAAATTAAACGCGATAAAATCCGTAAAAGTAGTTTTAATCAATGTTTGCCTTTGTGAATGAATGAATTTTTTTGTAAATAAACTTTCACCACTATACAGTAGACTAAATCTTAGAATTTCTAAGAAGAAATAGTATTACCAATTTGTTTACAGCACAGTACACATATCACACGTATTTGCAAATGTTGTTTGTAACGTCCATGTTACATCCGTGCCGGTAGTCATTGGGAGCACTACGCTCGAAGTTGTCGACGAGTATGTTATCTTAGGAAATATTCCACTTAGGTAAGTTTTTTTTTTTAAAATAGAATTAGGGCAACAAACGAGCACACAGTCCACCTGATGGTAAGAGGATGCTGTGTTCAACAGTGGACTTACGAAGGTTGTAACCTAGTAAGAGTCCACTACTCAAATTGTGGCCTCCTATATATACTTCATAGGGTTGAGGGACAATTGTTCTGGTTGCCACGCCTCAGTTGCCTATTAGGGGGATATTTTTTATAGTTATTCGATATTTACTAGAGTTTTTATTAGAAATTAACAATAATTTTTCATCTCGTTTTCAGCACAGTTATATGTCCTATTTTAACAATATACGAGTATTTTCAATACTCGTGTCAATGTTATGTACACCTTTATAGTAATTGGATGTGAGGCTAGATCACAGAACACTAATAATGTGCATTTAATACCTATCGTCTGTTAATTGTACCATACGATGAATAAATAAATAAAAGAATTAAATATCGTGAGTGAATCTTATCCACTTAATTTTAAACACTTGATTTTGACTTGATAAAAGAACCCCATGGTTGTCCGAAGAATTTGGTTGACAATAGCGAATTAAAGGCGATCGTGGAAGCTGATCTTACTCAAGCTGAATTAGCAGCAGCTTTCGACGTTAGTATCAAAACAAAATTGGTCTACTTGCTTCAAATTGGCAAAGTAGAAAATCTTGAAAAGTGGGTGCCCCACGAACAATCAATGATCAATCAAAATCAATGATCGCCAATGCGAAGTACGCGTCGAGACGTGCCTTGCATTGCTCAACAAGCACAAAAACGAAATAATTTTGAACCGCATTTGATACCTGCGACGAAAAATGAATTCTGTTTGACAATCTCAAGCACTTTTGCAAGTTGTTGGTTCCTGGTTCAACATGTAAGCAATGCCCTAAATGAAAACTTACCCCTGATAGCCACTTTCTGATGGTCTAGTACCGGTGTGATTCAATACAGCATCTCACCAAACGGGACGGGCATTACTGCAGATGTGTACTGTGAAGAACTGAATACAATAATGGAGAAGCTCGCACATCACACGTTTTGGTCAATCGTTTGTCCCCGCTGCTCCTGCACGACTATGCGCGACTTTATACTGCACAACAGATGGTTTCCAAGTTACAACACCTGAGGTTGGAAGTTCTCTGTCATCTGCCGTACTCATCAGACCTTGCGCCTACAGATTTCTTCTTTTTCCTTAGAATTTGGATAAATTACAATACCCGAGAGGCAGTCCAAAATGCATTTGATAAATTTATTGCCCCCCGTGCAGCTGATTTCTTCAAAAAGTAATTTAATATTAGGACTAATTATCCTAAAGTCGTCCATGTCACCGTAATTGCTTAAAGAAAAGAAAACTCAACTTTTAACGTAACTTTTTTTAATTATACATCAGTCGTGCCTATAAAAATATAAATACTTAAAGTAATGTGTGTCCTTAGCACATATACCTAAATAATTACAAATTGCCTTCGCCATTTTCCTTTTAGGAGTGTTGAATTCAATGCTGTCTTCGAACGATAGAGAAATTTCCAAATATGACCTTGCAGTTACATCGTGTGGATTTTCTTCGACGTAATAACTGAAAGGAAGATATATTTTTATCAGATTATTTTTGGTTAGATTAGATTTGTATTATCACAGAGATAAACGGAATATAATATAAACGGAAATAGTTTTTATGGCAATTTACTTCTTCAGCCAGTTCACGGTGTTCTATAAGACAAATTTCAAAGAGTGTGCGCAGCAATTACATGAATGCATTTATTAATACCTCCCTTTTTCTTTCATTATCCGATAACCAGATGCTCGAATAGCCTACACTGTTTTATTGTAGCTTGTCGACATAAAACGCATTCGTACCAAACGGTTTGTTTCGTCAATTGTAATGCGTCAGTAAAGGAGTGGAGTAATAGGCTTTTTAAATTCGTTAAGCGAAGGCTATCTTCGGTTGTATCTTACCATCAGATAATGTCGTCAAGACCGAATTTCGGTCACGGCGGCTAGCCTAAACGGAGACTAGCCATAGGAGCAGGATAGGATTATAGTTCCCAAGTGTATTCGCAGGCAACAGGTGCACTAAATATTCCCTCACTCTTATACTTCGATGGAAGGGTAAACCGACACGACCGGAGAGGGATCAGACGCAGGACCAACGGCTTTACGTGCTTTTCGAAGCACGGGGATGAGACACGGCCAACTTCCTGACTCCGGGCAGATACTAAGAATTTCTTGATAAGTCAATAACTAATATTTTTCTGGCCCGACTCGGGATTCAAACACGGGACCCCATTATAACCACTAGACCAAAGAAAAAGGCCGTCACTTCAGATAGCATAGTACTCGTCGTTGCTTTAAAACTTTGAATATGTTTAGAGTAACAATTTAGAACCACGCTCTTACAGATCTAGCGTAAACACACATACAACTCGCGGCACGAAAGTCTAGCGGTGACCGTTATTGCACATAATTGGCCGTATTGCGTGTGGTTGGCTGTGCGTTTCATTCGTACGAGCTTTTGTAGCTAACCTCACCACGTTTCGTTTAGCGCTAGAGTTACGTGCCGCAATTTATAATAGGAAGACCCTTCTGACGGCTAAGGGGACATTATGTTGTTACAACGGAGTCCTCAGTTGTAACTACATAATAGCATTTTGATCCCTAATCATAATTTCCTAGTAACAAGTTTAAGTAATAATGACAAAAATATACTTATCCTCTCAACTGTGAGATACAGATACATTTACTACGGGTGTTTCGTGTCTGAAGTTTATAAGTAAATTGCAACCTTCTAAAGGTTGTGGACAGAAGCGTACTCTTTTAACTCCGTAGCCGTAGTAAATTTATCTGGACAGTTGAGAGGAGTTAAAAGAGTACGCTTCTGTCCACAACCTTTAGAAGGTTGCAATTTACTTATAAACTTCAGACAAGAAACAGCCGTAGTAAATGTATCTGTATCTCCCTCTAACTCGTACAACATTATTTTAATATAATTAATCTACTTATCTCGGTATGGAATTGTCGCTATTGAAGTACAAAATGTGCCAACATTATTGTCGAGCTTGAGGTGTAAAAAAATGTACGCAGAGTTGTGTTTTTTTATTATTTATTGTAAAGTGTATTTATCTTATTGTAAATAAAATAAATGTTTATTGAAATAATTGTTTTTTTTTTCTTTTACATTTTTTATTCACCAAACTGGAAAAAAATCGATTTTAGCATTTTTACCACGGAATTTAGAAAATATAAAAAAGGTGAATGTACACATTTACACATATTCTATTAGCTTACTTAACAATAATTCTATCAACATATTATTTTATAGAGTTTCCATTCATAATTATTGAAATATTGCCATTTTAATGACACGCGCCACGTATGCAATAGATCACTCGTTTAGGGTTTGACAGATGCGGCAAAGCGACCATTTGGGCCGGGACAGTTGAGAGGAATAATGACGTTCCAATTTTTGTATAGCTGTAAATGCAAATTAAGTAAAGTTATGTGTTTCTAACACCTATATGCTGTAATCCCTATTTTGATAAAAATACATTAAACTGAAATCTAAAATTATGGACAAAACATTTTGACAATTGTAGAATGATCAATATAAATGAAAAAAAAATTTAATGCGTTTAATAATCTCAAAAAATATTTTTAATTAAATGAATTTATGCGTCTATAATTTAGAATACAAAAACAATTTTTAACGGTTGAAAATTCTAAGAAATTTTTAAAAAAGTCACCTATTATAATTAATGAAACAGAAATAAAAGAAAATAAATACAACTAATTATTTAAAAATACACTATAATGATTTCTTAAATTTACGTGAACACTACACATTGAATAAAACTATTATTTACGGATTTTATCGCGTTTAATTACTTTAATTTATTTTTATTATTATCCCGACGTTTCGGGTGCTTTACCGCACCCATGGTCACGGTTACCTTATATATACCTTATTATTTTTATATTATGTCCCAAAAAGAAACAAAAAATATTTCGATACAATGTAATAATATCCTAACTCCTAACTATGTGCCTAAAAACGGCACAATATCTTTATATTTTAGTAACATTACCAAAAACCAAAAAATAAATACTCAAGTCGAGATAGTAAGTAGTCTTAAAAATATGCTGAATTCTTTTCAAAGTAACAAGAACATGTTTTTTCGAAACAATTAGGTTACAAATACTTTACAATTTTTCACCAAAATATTTGTGAAAACAGGTGAAGAAAAAATATACTCATAAATAATTACGAGTTAGCTCACAGAAATCTAAATTATAAGGCACCTGTTGCCTTATTAGTTAGCTACATCACTTTCAAGATCATCCAAAAGAGGGAGTGATTATTTAAAAAAATAGAGTACTGCGATACACTTGTTAAAACTTACCACTTTGAGTATTGTGCAATAAAGCTTATAAATAACAATTTAATTATTGTTTGCATCCATCGAATAAAAGTCATTTAGAATATTTTTTGATAAATTTGACTCACTAATTAAAAAATATATATTAAAAAATTCAAAAAAAGAAGATAATAATTACTGGGGACATGAATATTAATATACTTGAATCCAGTCAATAAACCAAATGTCTTAAGGACGTTGTAAAAAATATAACCTTCATTTTAATATAAAACAACCAATTATAGGCAAATCGTATATTGATCTTATTATTAGTAAAATTGACGAAGTAATTGAATCTGCACATATAAATACTGCACAAGTATTAAAGTTTACTGCAAAACATAACAAGAACATCACACCAAAATATTATACTCATATATTCGACATTATTCCGAAGAAACTATAGAAAGATTTAAAAAATGTTTAAAATGCGTTTCTTTTTGTGAATTTTTTGTTCAGGCTGATTAAAATACAGCGTTTGAAGAATTTTGTAGCCTTTTCACATTATTCTATAAACGATGTTTTCCTAAAATAAGAGTAAATACCAAAACATTTACCAAACTAACATGGATATCCAAAGGCTTAAAAAAGTTATTAGAACTAAACGTTAACTTCGGTACAAGTTCTTGACTAGAAAAATTGTTAATCGAATTAATTATATAAATCACGATAAACTACTAAAAATATAAGCATTGCAAAAAGAATAACAAACAATAAATTTATAGTAAATAGTAAAAATATATGTGAAGCTACTTGGGCAATCATTAAAAATGAGACAATTTGTGTATAGACTGTAAACTACATAAATGAAATAATATATAATCGAAAGAATGTAACGGAATCTGCTGAAATAATATCTATTATAAATAATTATTTCATTAACGCAACAAATCAGATAAATTATAAATAGAAAATACAACTGACACGAAATTACCTCAATCTATTTTTCAGATTCCTGTAAATAAAAATTTTATCAAAAAAATTAATAATGTCTTTTAGTAACATGAAATCTGAAGTCTATGATTCCATATTTCCATATGTACTAAAATAATTAAATCTTGTAAGAATGAAATAAGTGAAATATTAGCATTCCTGATTAATCTCTCGCTAGAGTCAAGGGCTCTTCCTGACAAATTAAAACTTACAATAGTAAATTCGTTTTACAAAAAGCGAGATGAAAATGATATGACCCAGTCACACACATGAAAATGATAGGACCCAGTCCCAGTCCTTTCAAAATATTCGAAAAGGTTACGCATTACCAGCTTACTACCTTTTGTAATAAATTTAATGTAACAAAACAAAATCAGAATGGTTTCCAAAAAAAGAAAACCACAGCCCATGCTGCATTTACATTAGTAAAGGAAGTATTACAAAATGTAAACAAAGAAACTATACAACAGTACTGTCACAACGTTAATACAACGTACTTTCTTCTTCTCTTCGATCACGTCTCACATGATCTGTTACTGACCAAACTAGAGGCTAATGCTATAAGGGCACCTGCTTTGAGTTGGCTAGAAAGCTATTTAAAAAATAGGTCACAGGTAGAAATAACACAATTTCATTCTAATAAAATACCTCAGATGTATAAATCTGAATTCAAAAATAACAACTTTGGTGTTCCCCAAAGTAGTGTATTCGGACCATTGTTGTTTATTTTATATATAAATGATTTACCTGATATCTTGAACTATAAAACTACTTTATTTGCAGATGACATCTCGGTGTCAATTACGACTAGTAAAAAAATACACTAGATCAACATAAAACGGACATAATTAATAAAATTAATTCACTAAATAAATGGCTTAATAAAAATAATCTACACATTAATTTACGTAAAACAAATATCATTAATTATAATAACTTAAATTCTGACATTAATATTAAATATAATGGACAGACAACTTCTGCGGAACGCTACTAATACGACATTTCTAGATTTAATTATAGACTCAAATCTAAATTAGAAAGAACATATACATAAAGTGTCTAACAAAATTAACAAATTTATATAGGCGTTACATAAATTGGCAAAAATAGCAAACAAAAATACAGCGATTATAGCGTATTTCGCATATGTTTAATCTGTAATCAGGTATGGACTCTTAATGTGGGGTAATAGCACAGACTCTCAAAAAGTATTTTTAGTTCAAAAGCGCTGTATTAGAGCTATTAGTAACATTCCATCAGACACATCATGCAAGCCTTATTTTAAGAGTTTAAACATACTTCCTTTTCCCTTTTTTTTTTTTTTGCATGTGGAAATGCCTACGCATACCCGCCTCGCGGGGGCAAGGACGGGTTATGTCGGACTCGCACCGACTAAAACCCCATGGTGTTCCACCTTTGTCGCATATTGGCAGGGCTACGGGAACGCTTTCGCACACATTCGCGGCCCTACTAGCGCCTGCCGCCCCATGGCAGCACCTCCTCGGGAGAGGAAAATTCCCTCCCCGTTCTCCTTCCCAGGTAAGGCGCACCAGAACACATGGCGCGCCTTCCTCCACGGCCTCCAACTACATCTGTGCAACAGACGCCCCCGCGTCCGATGCACAAAGGCCATGGGGCCAGGAAAAACGAGCACTTAGAAGTACTAGCCTTCCCGACCCCAGCGGCGGATCTGGTCTATGGCTCCGCCGCCAACCAAGATTCGGCTGCGGAGGGTAGGGAGAGCGGCGCCTCGCAATACCGACAATCCTCTCCCCCCGCAGCCCCACCACCACCGCATCAACGGTGCGGCCCCGTTTGAGTCGCGAAGGATAGGGCGAGTGGCGCATCGCCTTACCAACACTGCTCTTCCTCCGCGACTCCACCTCGGCTGCAGCGGTAGAGGGTGCGCGAGTCCCCACTCGCTGCAGTCCACCAGCACACATCCGAAGTGGGCTCCCCAAGCCCCTCACTCGGAGCGGCCACCTCAGGCCGGCCCTTCACCTCGGGCCAGTCACGTGGGTTCCTCTTTGTTCACCGTCGGAGACCAAGCCACGGCTACTAAGCCCCCCCCGCCACGACAAGGCGGGAACCCGTTCGGGGGGGACTTCCTTTTCCCTGCCTCTACATATTTGAGGTTGGCAAATTTGTAATGCAAAACTTACAAGCTAAAGATATAACAAAAAGAAATTTGTGGAACCCACTTAAACTAGTACTTGACACAATTTCAAAAACTAAGCACTTACAAAAAAGTAGCTATGCAATGTGCAACACTATTTATAACAAAATACCCTCACATTGGTGCCGGCGGGGATCGAACCCGGATTACTCGCGTTCTTTTATATTTACAGCGAGTGTTAACCATCTGAGCTACCACGGCTCTTTAAGTGCTTATTTACCACGTGCTCGACAGTGAAGGAAAACATCGTGAGGAAAGCTGCATGTCTGAGGAATAAGGAAAAAATATTTCGAAGACATGTGAATTTCGCCAACACGCATTGGGGCAGCGCGGCGGACACTTCTTTGCCCTAAAACCCTCTCAGAAATGAGGGGAGGTCTGTGCTCAGCCGTGGGACGTATATAGGCTGTAACTTTACTTTTACTTTTTACCCTCACATAGTAAGCAATTACCATATTATAATAAGTTTAAAATTTCATAACGATGATGGCTCGTCGAGAAACATTATATACAGTAAATGAACATTATAATATACTTTTTGTGGTAATTAAAAATAATGCATTAATCATTTTATTTACAAAAATTTTAAAAGGACGTTTTACTTATTTGTATAGAATAAATTTAGTAACTAATTATATTATAAAAACTTTTGGATATTTGCATGCTGTTGAAAACAGGAAAACAGGTTTCTTTAAACAGTAACAATGATAACACGAAGAACAAAACATTTTATACCTATTTAGTTGCAAATAAAGAATTAGAATTTGAATCAATGATAGTTCTTGCTATTTACGTACCTACCATATCATATTTTAAATTCGTTCAGAGTGCTTAAAAGCATGGTCACAACGGGCTTAAAAAACTACGGGAAATTAAATTATAACTTAACACAAACTTTAAATCCGTAAAATGTATTTAAATTTCTGTAGTAGTTTTTGTTATCTTGTTTCCAATACCGCTTCACCGATAGTTTCCGAATGGATTTTGATAAAACTAGTCTATAACATAGGTTATAAGCCGGAATAGAACATAGACTACATTTAAAAAAATGCCTACTACGAATTACCGTTAGAATACCAATAAAATGTTTTGACGTATGCTACATAAATTTCGACTCAGACTTCATACCAATCTTTAAAAAATGATGTCTTTAATGAATGGCTTCTATTTTGTTTGCAGAAATTTAAGAAAAACTTGCGAGTGTTTCGGATATTTCTTGAATATCAATTCTATCTCTGTATCTTCACAAGTATTTTATTTAGTAAATGTTTGATCTTTAAATTATTGAAATTAGACATTTCGTTACGGCAAATACTAAAAATAGTAATATAAATAAAATTACGCAAGAATATTGCGACAATTCATGATTTACGAAATTCGTTACTGATGGCGCTATGTATAGTATAAATCACACATAACAGTTTTAATGTACCTAAATATGTACTTGGGTTATATAGAGGCTATATTATTATTATTATTCAAATTACTATTAAGTCCGGTAAGCGTACCGGAAGCGTGAATTTCATCAGATCAGATTATGAGAGCAGCTTTTGCGGTGCTGTACCGGTACCGAGGCGAACGCTATGACAAATAATCTTGACGTTTACTGCATGGGTAGAACTGAAAAGTTATTGCCCGGTGACTCACACAAGTTCTACAATTTTATCAGGAGAAGCCAAGAGCGAGACTATCCTCATACACGGATTCCTATTCGTGACAAACAACCTACCGTTTAATTTTAAACGATCAGAATTCCTTAGGGAAAGAAGTAACCTGTTCAATAACAAACAAATCTCGCTCGCTGTCGTGTTCCTAGGGCTCATAATCTGCACGGTTTCTCTGAGCAAAATTATTTTAAAATCAAATAATTTAATGTAATCTATAGAACTGTATTGCAGTAGAGCGTTGCAACTTTTAGTTATCATAATTTGAGTACTGAAAAAAATTGTCGGCTTATAATTAAGTGCGAACATAGCTGCGGGTAAAAACTATTTTTTATGTAACATAAAAACGTTATCATATTAGATACCTGTTCATCTGATGGCATAGAGACTGGAACTCCACTTCAAACAGAGAAAGCTATTTCACCTCTGAGGACTATAACTGCTTCACCATCGGTAATTATACTGACTCTCTCACCCTTCACAGATTTTGATTAAGATTGATAGTAAAATAAATGGATGCATCGCGGTTTGGCTTAAGAAATAGATCAGAGGTAAAACGGATTACCGGTTCTCTACTCTCGGCATACGCAACACGGGTGCTTCCTCGGTCGAGCCGACCCATTCATGCTACAACCATAATACTGCATCATGGCTCTACCACGTAACAAAGCAATTGTAAATAGTTACCTTAAGCATTTTATCAAGTAAGTAAAATGATCCAAGAAGCAAGAACAAGGACCGAACTGGACCAACATGGGCGTACTTGAACCGCTATTGTCGAGAACTTCGTTCCTTGGGGAACTTGCGTCATTGTATGTAGGCGTCAGCTTCATGGATTCATCTCCAAATCTCTTTAGATATAATTTTCTTATTAAAGTGGATGTCGTGACGGGCATCTGTTTATTAATATCCATCTAGAATGTTCTCCTGTTGTATTCTTCGTGATATTTTTCTACAGCTACTTCACGTTTCACTTCAACCACAATTGATTCGAAGTCGTGCGTTGGAGCCAGCTGGGTGATCTTGTTGCAAAGCGTTTGAATGAACCACGAACCGTGAAGTTCATCTCTGGAATTCAGTTTTATGTGATTAATGTGTTGTAAAGTATTTCGTAAACCCTTTAACTGGAAACGAAGCTTTCCATCTCAGTCCTCACCGGTGAAAACGCATCTGTATTTTGAGATATAAATCTGCAGATTCCTTAATAGAGGATAGATGTAGATGTATATGGGCCACAGTATCCATTTACCATCAAGTGAATTGTATGTTTGTTTGCCCGCATTGTACTATAAAATAACGTTAAAAGTAAAATAAAAGACTAAAGGCGTTTCACATTATCCATCACAACATTTGTAAAATTACAAACTGATACACGTCTTAGTCTTTAATTTTATTTAACTATCTTCGTTGGAAATCCATAATCCAGGATTTTAAATATTTTAACCATATGGTTATCGCAAGTCGAGTATGGTATATGCTAGAAAGATCTAATGGCTTCCGATATTAAGAAATAAGTTACAATGTGATCTACATTGTAACTTATTTCTTATTACAAGGTTTATACAATGCACTTGTAAGCAGCCAACTGGCGAGTGCAATTATTTGAAATTCCCAAGAAGATGTGTGTCTATCTTCATCTACATGGTGGAAAAGATTCAAAATAAATTCGCACTACAATAGCACTACCTGAACTGTTATGATGCAGTAACTGTTTTTGTAATAAATAAATAGCCACCTCGCTTACGCCAGGCGTGAAATACCCTGACCGGTAACGGTGATCAGCATTAAGGGTCTATCTATCTATCTATCTATCTATCTATCTATCTATCTATCTATCTACCTATCTAAAGGTCGGAGGCACCTGGCACCGCGATCTTTCATCTGCCTTGCAAGCGTCACGTATAAGACCAATTATCTTTATAACAGATGCGAATGTCAAGGAGTGGACTATTACGGGCTGACGGAGAAGAAAAACAGAAACAGAAACACAAACTTTTTTATTCTTTTTATAGAATAAACGAGCACACAGTCCATCTGATGGGTAGTGGATGCTGTGGTCCATAGACATCTACATTTATCCTCGATGAAAAATCAAAACGCAGATGCGTTGTCACCCCTGAGGACTAAAATGGAATGCCTCGTTTCCGGTAAAAAAGGATCTCCGTATCTCTACACTCACCATACGAAACACAGTGGTATTAAGCTACTATTTTACGCTGGTACTCTGTGAGAACGTGGTCCTTTCCCAGTCAAGCCGAACCATTAGTGCTACAACCATATTATATAGCAGCAGCGTGGCCCAACCACGTATTTATTTCAATATAGATTATAAATAATACTAATTGAAAGTCAGACTTTTGTTTAATTTACCACTAGTTTGGACAAACCTCTGTCCTGGGAAGAACCAGCAGGTAATCGAGCGGGACGTTTAAAAAAATATTATAGCTTACAATTATATATATTACACAATTAACAACACAAAACTAATTAGAAATAGTTTGGTAGCATTCGCCTCATTCCCCTATCCATAAGTTCCTTAATATTATAATAACTCTTTTTATACAAACTTTGTGGAGGTCAAATTTTGTATATTTTCTGGGATTTTGTTGTTAAAGCGAACGGTGACTAATCTTTGCTTTAGGCGGCGGATCTTCTAGAAGAAGGCAAATTTAAAGCAAGAGCTTTAAAAAACAGTGTAACTCACCAACCCGTCTGCCAAGCGAGGCAACTATGGCAAATGTCTCCCCTATAATGCAATCTATCATCATCATCATCATCATCACAACCCTTCACAAGTCGACTACTGAACATAGGCCTCCCCCAAGTAATGCCACAAAGCACGGTCCTGAGCCACCTGCATCCATCGACTTCCTGCATATCTTACCAGGTCGCCACTCCATCTAGTGGGGGGCGGCCCTACACTTCGCCTACCGGTACGAGGTTGTCACGCGAGAACCCTTCTTCGCCATCGGTTATCGGTTCTTCGAGCTATATGGCCGGCCCATTGCCACTTCAGCTTACTAATCCGTTGTGCTATGTCGGTTACTCTGGTTCTACTGCGGATATCCTCATTTGTGAGTCTATCACGCAGAGAAACTCCGAGCATAGCCCTCTCCATAGCTCGCTGAGCGACCTTGAGCGTCCTCATACGGCCAGCAGTGAAGGACCACGTCTCTGATCCGTAAGTCATCACTGGCAACACGCACTGGTTGTACACTTTAGTTTTCAGAGATTGAGGTATACCTGACGAGACGATGTGTCGTAATTTCCCGAACGCTGCCCAGGCGAGTTGAACCCGTCGATTGACCTCTCGGTCGAAGTTGGACTTACCTAGTCGGACTATTTGTCCCAGGTAAACGTACTCGTCAACAACTTCGAGCATAGTGCTCCCAACAACTACCGGCATAGGTGTGACATGGACATTAAACATGATCTTTGTTTTATCCATGTTCATCTTAAGACCTATCCGTTGGGAGGCACTATAGAGGTCATTGAGCATAGTGCTTAAGTCCTCCAGCGATTCTGCTATAAGGACTATATCGTCGGCAAATCGAAGGTGAGTGATGTACTCGCCATTGATGTTAATACCGTATCCTTTCCAGTCCAGTAGCTTGAAAACGTCTTCCAAAGCAGCGGTGAAGAGTTTCGGGGATATAACGTCACCCTGTCTTACACCTCTCTGCAGTTGGATAGGTTTCGAGCTCTGGTTCTGTACTCGGATAGCCATCGTAGCCCTACTGTACAAACACTTCAGCACTTCGATATACCGACAGTCAACTTGGCACCGCTGAAGGGACTGCAGCACCGCCCAAATTTCGACGGAATCAAAGGCTTTCTCATAGTCCACATACGCCAGGCAAAGTGGCAAATTGTACTCTTCAGTCTTCTGTACAATCTGCCGCAGGGTATGTATGTGGTCTATGGTACTGAAGCCTTTTCGGAAACCGGCTTGTTCGGGAGGCTGGAAGTCGTCGAGACGATTCGTAATGACTCTCGAAAACAGCACGTAGACGCCGCTCAGAAGGGAAATCGGTCTGTAGTTCTTCAAGAGAGCGTTGTCGCCTTTCTTAAAGAACAAGACCACCGCACTTCTGCTCCACGCCTCTGGAGTAGTGCCACCATGGAGGACGGAATTGAAGAGCTTCCGAAGGACTTCAAGTACCGGTGTTCCACCCGCTTTCAGAAGCTCCGCTGTAATTCCATCCTCGCCTGGGGCCCTGCCGTTTTTAAGGTGCTGGAGAGCCATTCTAATCTCGCTTAGACTGACGTCCGGGATATCATCGGAATAGTGTCGGATAAGACTTGCTCTTGGATCGTTACTCACACTTGCGTGTGGCTCCAACGATGATGTGTACAGCTGCCCATAGAACCTCTCAATCTCACTCAAAATCTCAGGTGTCCCGGAAACGATGCTGCCACACTCAGTCTTCAGCCCTGACAGTTGACTCTTTCTGGCAGACAGATCTCTGGCAAAGACTTTGGAGCCCTGGTTCCGCTCGATCGCTTCTTTAATACGAGCAGTATTAAAGTTGCGTAAGTCTCGCCGCATGCATTTGGAGATCTGTTTGTTCAGTTGCCTGTATGCTGTCAAATCTGTTGACGATTGCAGCCTCATCTCCCGTCTAACAGCCATGAGATTAAGAGTGTGATCTGAGAGTTTTTGTGTTCCTCTGCGGCGGGTCTTGCAGAACTTAGCTCCGACCGCATGGACAGTTTCCACTAGCTTGTCATTCACATCGTCCACTGCATTGCAATCTTGTAGGCACTGAAAGCGGTTGTGTAACTCGAGCTGAAAGTTTTCGGGATTTTGGATTAGAGCACGAGTGGGACGGTGCGTTGACTTCATTAGACGAGACCTCTCCAACTTAACGTTTAGGTTCAATGTGCCTCTAACCATTCGGTGATCGCTGCCAGTTTTCACCCTTGCGATCACTGAGACATCACTGAACAGTTGGCGTCTGGTCGTCATAATGAAGTCAATCTCATTTTTTGTCGAACCGTCGGGGCACGACCAGGTCCACTTCATGTGGGGCCGCTTCTGGAAGAAAGAGTTCATCATAAAGAGTCCCTCTTTCTCCATAAAGTCGGCCAGCTGCTGGCCCCTTCGGTTCCGTTGCCCTACTCCAAATTTCCCTAACCTCAGCTCACCGTTTTCTCTTGTGCCTAGTTTTGCGTTGAAGTCTCCCATCAACACCGTGTAGTGGGTTTTGGAGGAATGCATGGCTTTGGAAATATCCTCATACATTTCCTCCACCTCCTCATCGGAATGTGTCGAGGTTGGTGCGTAAACCTGTATGGCCTTCAGCGAATACCGTTTGGTGATTCTGAGTATCAGGTACGCGACCCTCGTCGACACACTCCCAATCTTTACAACGTTGTTGACGAGAGACTTGTGGACGATAAATCCGACGCCTCCTTGGGACAGATGGTCGCCCTCCCGGTGATAGAACAAGTTGCCGGATTCGAGAATCACCGTGTCCTCCCCCTCTCTTCGGACCTCGGATAATCCTATAATACTTCAGCGCAACTTGTCTATCTCTTCTTCCAGCTCCAGGATCTTCTCGTCAGTCCTCAGGGTGCGTGCGTTAAATGTTGCCAGGTCGAGTCGTCGTAGGTGGCAACCGAACCTCCACCGGAGATTCTTAGCACCCCCTGCCCCGCCGTTACCATGGTCGAGGCAATCTATGGGAGTGGCCTATGTTCAAATTTAGACTTGCCACAGAATTGTAACGATGATGAAAAATGACTAAGGAAAAACAAGAATAAAATATAAAATGCCTTCTAAACTGGAGCGAGGCCGAGGAAACAATTGGATAATGATTTTGAATGAATTTTGGGTACATACCTGTGTGATGGATGGCCGACATATGAACTGTGCAATATCAACATGTCGGACTCCGCAGGCAACGTGTACGGTTCCCGCGATTCGTCGTAGTCTTTCTTTATTACCCCTGATCGGAACACCACCACGCCTTGCATTTCACTCTTGCCCCGGCATGCCTGTTGGAAGACAAACATTTAACCCTTAAGGGGAAATATAATGTCAAATGGCTTAGCAAGATCCTTCGTTATGCCGAAAATATTGCAGCATTAATTTTGAAATAAATATATTGTAAAGTTGAGGATTAATGTTAATGATTATGTTAGACGAAAACACGATTTCGTAAAATTTTCTCGATAGAAAAAAAATCCAAAGTTACTTCCAAAATAAACAATAAACCGCTGTTATTCATAAAATACTTTAAATAAGATCATGAAACTTTGCATACTAACTGAACTAACTATAAAGCAGTGCTTATGTTATTTACTTTTTTTAAAATACCATTATTTTCACTGTACAAAGAAATTACCTAAATTATCGGCCTTTTGAAGTGTGTATCCTGTAGCACGGTCACTTCGCCTCGGCCTTTGAACGGGGAGGTTGTGTCGCTTACGATCAGAATATACATTACGCAACAGTACGACGTAAAATTAAAATGGGAAATAACCGTGATAAAAATAAGAAGCGGCTGGCTTGGCGTTAAGAAACAGGCATAAATATGATAAACCTAATGAAATAAGTGTCTAACGACCTTTCTACTTACAGTATTAGTGATTACAAACATATCGGTACATAGCATACGACGCGCGGGGAAGTGGGGGCGAAATTAGAATTTGAGCTGACTTACTCTATCCTCTTAAAAGTAAGAAATTTTTAAATATTCTAAAAAATATATATACATTAGAGGTACAAAACTCAGGAAAAATATTAAAAAAATGTTTTTCAAATTTTAATATATTTATTTCTAGTAAATATTTTTGAAATGAATAGAAACGATTAGTTTCTGCTGTCACACAAAGACACTTTGCATTTTGAACACATGCCAGATGTCTATATTCTCTTTTGTGCCCTACATTAACAAAACGTCTCTTGCTGGTATTGCTTGTTCATGCACTCAAGTTGTTCTTTTTTCTAATTCTTCCATATCTATACCTTTAAACGAGCATTCAAAAAAATAATATATATATAATATAGAAAATCTTTTACCGCATCGAGATGTAATCATGTCCATTGCTTATGACGTTTCGGCGCGCGGTACTTCCCAAACCAATTGTAATACAAAAATCCTTCCATAAATAAAATAAAAAAATTTTGCTATTATTAAACGGTAACAATCCTACCCTGTAATGTATATATATTTCATGATATATATACATATATATATAAGTATACATAAATGTATATATATTCATGAAATTTTGTGTCCAGAGAGTTTCGGGGGCAATAAATCGACCCAGCTAGGATTTATTTTTAGAAAATGTTTTTTTGTCCGTATTTTCAGGCAATGAAAAACTGCTATATGTATAAGAAGGTAAATTTTTAACACTGTGTTAATGATCGTAATAGCTCAAGTGGATATCGATATCGAGCGGTCGCGAAATCGTAATGCCCTGGTTCGCGTCCCGTCCTTGGTCCAATTTTTTCCTTTTTTTTTCAAGTTTCCTTCTTTTGTGAGAAAATCTATTATTTCGAGCCCTTTTTTTAGTACTTTTTAAAAATACGAAAATTTTAATTAAACTAATTGCACTCACGATTTTTTATTCAAATAACTGGTTCAGTTTTTTCTATTGTGTCAATAAGATCAAAAAATATTATTGATGTTTTATCAGTATGTAATTTGTGTCTAAATGTAATTTCAAAAAACAAACCGAGCAAAGCTCGGTCATCCAGGTACTCTGTTCTAAAGTCAGCTAAATTCATTATCTGTTTCTGATTCACTTCTTTTTTGGCCAGTACTTTTTTTAGAGCACCCAAGCGTTGATGATCGTCATGTGCAGCAGATGATAAAACAATCCTGTCTTCATTTGCGAGACATGAGTATTGTCCTCTTTCACGACTCTAGGACAAGGAATTTCAATATTAGCTTTTTGCTTTCTGTTAAAACGTTTGATAGATTATATTGGTTCTGCTCCTACATACGTCATAAACAATACAACCTGCTTGTTGTCTTTTCAATTATAGCTGCCAGGTCTAATCCATTATAATGAGTAACAGTATGACCCTCTGGAAATATTGGCTTTCATTACATCTTTTTTTTCTGGCAACTAGCGATTTTTTCGAATTAATTTCTTTGCACAATGCACAATATCCAAGCAGTAGATTCCTTCTCCCCAAAGATAAAAGATTAGAGGAAATTTTTTTTAAAGTTATCGAAGTACACGATATGATTTACCTTTCCAGGAACAGATCGCAACTAACGGATGACCGTGTCGGACACGGCACCTAAATCAGGTTCATTTGTGATCTTTCAATATTTTGTGCTACTGAATAGTTCTCAAAGTTGTATGCGTATCCCATCAAGTATCTAAGACAAAAATTTTAAAACCTCCCTTATGGGATTTGTTTGGTAGGTATTGTTTCATAAGGTGTAAAATCTTGGTTGCATAATTTTTTTCATCTACAGATAGTCTATGATCAAAATGAGCACTCATAAATCGTGTCAAATCACTGTCGTGATTAGGATGACTAATGGGAAGATGATGTTCGTTATCATTCTTAGATTCATAGAATTCTTGAAATTTTTTGAAATATCAATTTTGATACCTCACAATAATAGCAAATTGAACTATGAAAACCCACAAAGAAAGTAAATACGAAGCATAATATGAATTACTTACGACGAAGAATTTTAGTCGAACGAATAGTCTCTAAAAGTGGCCATAACCTAAGTTAAACTTTAGGTATCATTTTTGATACTGTATGCATTTAAGGGTCAACTATTTTTGAATGTGTTTAAAAAAACTTTAGCCCCACAATTTCTTTTTTTCCTATATCGTTAAAGAGTTTTACATTTTAAATCCTTTATTATTATCGACTAATTGGAGCTTATAAATATATTAGCTTTTCTGTGTTTTATTTTGCATTCAAATATGTCTATTTTTGACGTTGTGTAGTTTTTAAGATGACTAAGTTGATTAAATAGTTATCACATTTCACAATAGACATCACACAGGGCACACTGAGGCTGTGGTTCGCCACGCCAAATGCTGAGTGCGACCCCTTTTTGTCACGTTCGGTAACGTCTAATACTTAGGATAAGGGAATAGGAAAGGTAAAGGGGAAAGACAAAGGTAAAAATCAGCGATAAATAAAGATGAAGTAGAAGGACTTTAAGAAAGGGACTCTGAAGATTGGTACTGCCTAATTTGTAATGAAGTTTATAATAATTAAAGTAAAGGCAAAATGTATTGTGTGTAAGATGTGGTTACATGTAAGATATGTCACAGCAGATACCTCTTTTGTTTGTATCAACTGCAACTTGTGAAATCTGCATGTCTTAAAAATTAATAAAATATATATTTCTTAGGCCTATGAAGTCCTTCAATAATCATTACGGCAACACGTTGTACATTCCTTCCCATTAAACCCTTTCAGGAATGAAAGGCAGCCTGTGCTGTATGTATGTCTTATTTTATTTCAATAATATCATTAACATTTCATTTCCTTTCCTGACAGATTTCTATTATGATTACTTTAAACTGAAGTCTATTCTTAGTTCTCAGAGGTGACAATACGCATGTATGTAGACGTTGTTAAGCATAAATAACCACCACGGGATACTGCCACCGGATACAGTCACGCTCATTGAAAAAACTTTTTCGTGGTAGAGCCATGCTGCAACTATAGTTGTAGCACGAATCTGTCGGCTCGACCGGGGAAGGACCACGCTCTCAAGAATACCAGCGTCAAATAGCAGCTTAATGCTGCTGTGTTTCGTATGGTGAGTATAGAGAACCGGAGACCCTTTTTACTGGAAAAGAGGCATTCCATCTTAGTCCTCAAGGCTGACAACGCATCTGCATTTTGATTCGCAAACGAGGATAGATGTAGATGTCTATGGGCCACAGCAACCACTTACCATCAGGTGGACTGTGTGCTCGCTTGTCACCCTTTTCCTATAAAAAAAAACTATTGCACTCAGAGTGACCGACCCTAGATATTTACCTTTTTTGTGTATTACCTAGTAGAAGTAGTTAATAGTGGTCGCTTAGATTATAGTAACTATTATTTAAACTGTGGCTCAGCCGCTAAGCGCTTGTCGTAAAAATCTGACCAAGTCATCAGTACGAAGTACGCAAGCAACCAAGTTTTGCTTCTCCCAATGAAATTGTTAACAGAAATTTTAAATGCTAATTTACCACGTCCTCGATAGTAAAGTTAAACGTCGAGAGTAAACCTGCATAGCTTGAATAGTAAAATATTCTGAATACAGCTTAAAACAGATGATTTTTAGGATAGAAATATGTAGGCCTAGTAGATTTACGTTTATAGGATGTTACTTTATTTATCTTGGCTCTGATAACGACTCTTTTGTTACTTGTCATGTATGATGTCATTCTAGTGGATTTGAATCAAGGTGATAAAATAAGATTATAGATGGGAACTCAATTGAGATATCACACGAATAATAAAACGTTTTACTATATAAATAAGGCTGAGTAGCGAACACGTAACGATAATTAGTGGATGCTGTGGCCTTACTGTGGCCATAAACACCTACATCTATCCTCGATTAAGATTCAAAATGCAGATGCGTTAACGTCCTTGACTAAGATAGGATGCCTGGTTAGTAGTAAAAAGGATGTCCGGTTTTTGTCACCCACCAACATCGTATCAAGCTTCATATGGTCTTGATGTCGTGGAAAGTGTTTTTGACATTCCTTGGGGAAGACCTTTATTAGACAGTAGACTTATGTGGCTGTAAAGATAATGGTGATGATGATGATGATGATGATATCATATGCAATGTAGGGGAATCCAATACTGTAAATGCCTACTGTTAATACCTTTATCACGTTATATCAGTAAGTATCAATAACGAAAGATTTCCGGAGTGAATCATCAACTCGGCCGATTTCTAATGTACTTAAATAAATCGATAAACTACACCTAAGACGTTTTATCTTTTTCGAAATATCTCTTCGAAGATTACATTCTTACGGGTATAACGTGTACATATACTTTCCGTCTCAATTCAAACTAAATGTCAAAATTAAATTATTTTCATTTAAAATGGGCCTTCGTAAAGCACTTTTTGGGAATTAAGAAATATACGCCAAACTTTAACCTTGTGAGAAGAAACAGCAAGAGGTCACAAGTAGATTGTCTTTCTTCCTTCTATCAAACAGTTACAACTTAACAAATTTAAAGGTCACATTTTATAAAAATCAGTACGGCGGAAACTAACTCCCTGTTGAAAGTTGTAGCATTTCGTTTTCTTTTTTTTTCTATATACGTTAATGTATTTACCATGGGGGATGTTCCGGGGAATTTACCGCTTCATTTAACACCCATGTTTCAGCATGGCACATTGGAAAAATTCGCAATTACATCGACAATATCTGAAAGCGTGGTCGTCCACTACCATGCAATTTGCCAGAAGTTTAAGCCTTACACGACTGCTTTTTGAAATCCGCTGTCACCAGTGATTTGTTTTCGGGCCGATGCGATGTTTTTTAAAACTTTCTTAAAAGCCGGTGACACACCTGCGATTCTTTTGGTATTGGAGAAGTTGGCGAAGTTATTATAGAGAATCCCACTTCTCCACTTCATCTGACTGAGGGAGATGTAGCAAAAGATGGGTGGCAGCATCTACTTGATAAGAACTCAAAAGGACAATGGAAAACTACAACAAGTATCCCCCCTATTATACAATCTATGAGGGGGTTACAACAATCTATGTTCACTATGTGCACATAAATGCGATTTCCCGTTGAAGGAAATTTATTTAGAGTGTATCATACATAATATGCTCTCTTAATATGAAAAAAAAAAAATATATATATATAATCGGAATCTCGCAAACGGCTCCAACGATTTTCATAAAATTTATGTGTGCAGAGAGTTTCGGGGGGCAATAAATCGATCTAGCTAGGATTTATTTTTAGAAAATGTCTTTTTGTCCGTGTTTTTAGGCAATGAAAAACTGCTACAATATCGTTTATATATATATATATATATATATATATATATATATATATATATATATATATAAAAAAAAAAAAAAAATATAGATAAATAAAATAATAAATAGCGATTAAATCTATATATAAAAAGAATATATATATAAAAAGAAGTGGTTTATATGTTACGTAATAAAACAAAGTACTACTTAAATATTTGTTAGTTTCATTTATCCAGTAAATAAACGAATAATTTAATAACTAACTGATAATAAATAACTGCTTATTTGTTAGAGTGGCGTTCCATGGTACACCCACCTTATTTTAAGGGACCGTACTGCCAAAATCGTAGTGCGAGCGATTCGCCGGCGTGTCTGTGATTTTTAGGTTGATGGGTGTTTGTGTAAGTAGAAGGAATTTGTCTTCACATGGCAATAACTACGACATTTTAATAATTGGCCTTCGAAGGAGCATGGCCTTCCATGGTCCACCTACCTTATAACTTAAAGTAAAAATCAGTCTAAATCTCAGTTATCTAAAAACCTCATATCGTTTATAAGAGGGTTATAGGGCAATTAGTCTATCACACTGTTACAGTGCGTGTTAAGAAATTCCCATATCCTAAAGTATTTTAGTTTCTTAGACAAATAATATGTTTTCCTTGACCGACAAGAACGTGGTAAATCTGTACTTAAAATTGTAAATAATAACTTTGATTTGTGGTTCACGGGAATCTTTATCGGGTTGCTCGTGTACTATGAAAAAATCTTAATTGACACAGTATAAAAATATTATTTTATTTTATTATAACAAAAATACCGTTAAAGACAGTAGAGAGTTGACTCTAAAAAAGTTAAAACGGAAATATGTGTTTGCAATTTATTTATTCCAAACACATTACTCTGTATTCACGGTTTTAAATAATTTTTTTCGTTATAAATTACAAGAATACTTTTTAAAAGCCATTTATGCTTTTACCACCTCTTTAGAAAATATGTCTATCCTAGGCAGAACCAGCACGAAACTCAGCGGGACTTTTTTTAATCATTATTTTGCAATATAATATGTTGGACAACCATTATATACGAAAACATCAAAAAAACATCGTGGTAGCGTGGTCATTATCCATTATGTACTCTTTTGTATGTAGTACAAAACCCTTATCAGGTAAACATATATTCTGAATTACTCCTTATTTTGAGTTGAGTACAACACCCCCCCAACCCTCCCAAACCCCCCAACCCCCCCAACATTCCTTCCCCTTTCCCCCCTCCCCCCCCCCCTCCCCAACACCCCCCCCCCCCCCCCCCCCCCCCCCCCTAACTAATTTACAGTGTATAAAGAATGAACATCATTATTTAAAAAAAAATCATTGTCTTTTTTATTTTACTTATAATCAAAACAATCCCTATTACCTGAATAATCAAGATCTTTGGCTTCGTGACCAGAGTTGGCTTGTTGTAAACTTTGAAATGGTTTATGATTTCGATCTCGCTGTAGGGCTGATCCTTGGCCCGGAGTAGACCGTGGTTAGAGCCGTGCGTCAACACTGCCACAGCAACGCACCCGTAATCCGTGAAGTCTCTTTCACTGACTGAAATATTAAACAATAATGAGAAATATACAAATTGCAAACACTTTAACCGACTCGGACCAAAGTCATCCTTTTTAATCTCAATATGAGACATATTCACGATTACACCAGCCGTACATTCCATAAAAACTTAACTGTAACTTTCACACTGTTGCCAAAAAATTGCCTAATTTATCGAAAATATAACGTTATTCTCATAATAATAGGTCTTTACCTATGAAATTGCCGTTCTACAGTACTGGCCATTTCAAATCAAAATAATTTTACAAATAAAATTATAGCCAAAGTTAAGAATTCTAATGATTTCTTAAATTTACGCGAACATTGAATAATAAGTAAAAGTAGTGAAATAAACGCGATAAAATCCGTAAATTTAATTTTATTCAATTTAAGAATTCTAATTTCAAATTAATTTTATTTTAAGAAGTTGTCTTGGCAGCAACGCGGTACTCAACATCAACGACGTTCAATAAATTCCCCCTTTCTTGAAATTTCATCTATAGACCCCTACGAAAACTTTGGTCGACAATGAAGAAATAAAGGCGAATTAACAGCAGCTTTCGATGTTGGCTTCAAAACAATATTGGCCCAATTGCATCAAATTGGCAAGGTAAAAAAGCTCGACAAATGAATGCCCACCGAACTTAATGATCTCGAAGTCCGTGTCGAGACGTGCCTCGTGCTGCTCAACGAAGGACCTTTTCGAGTGAAGATTTTGAACCGCATTGTTACCTGTGACGAAAACTGGATTTTGTTTGCCAATCGCAAGTGCTCAGCAAGTTGGTTGGATCTTGGTTCGGCACCTAAACAAAAACCCTAGACGAAAACTTAGATCTAGAAAAGTGATGGTCACTGTTTGGTGGTCCAGGGCCGGTGTAATTCATCGCAGCTGCTTACCAAACGTGATGAGCATTAATGGAGATGTGTACGGTGAAGAACTGAACTCAATGATGGAGAAGCTCGCACGTCTCCAACCAGCTTTGATCAATCGCACGTCCCCGCTGCTACACGACAATGCGCGACCTCATACTGGACAACAGACGGTCTCCAAGTTACAAGAACTGAGGTTGGAAGCTCTTAGATCTTGCGCCTACAGATTTCTATTTTTTCCACAATTTGGATAACTTTTTGGCGGGCATCTTTTTGGTTAAGCATTTGTTACCTCCCGTCCAGTTGATTTCTTCAAGAAGGCCATCAATAAACTGCCACTCCGTTGGCCAAGATGCATCGACTGCATGGGCGACAACTTTAATTAATAGAAATAAAAAATATAGAAGAAAATTACGTTAACATATTTCATAAAAAATGCCACTTTCATGGGTAAAGACCTAATAATGACTATACATTGCTATTTTATCATCATTCAAACCTACCCTAAGGAATGTCACAAAGCACGGTCCTGAGCCACCTATACATCTCTTAACAGGTTGCAACTCCATTCAGTGGGAGCTGTCCTACATTTCGCTATAATAACTTCAGTTATTTCACAAACGACTGCCTTATTGAAGTAGGAAATAAATGCGGTGAGTTCCCGGGTTCGAATCGACCAGGTCGCGACAAAAATCAGTTTTTGAGTTTTTCAGTAACAGCCTGGAGTCAGGTGGTGTTTCACGCGGTTTTTCACCCCGTGCCTAGTAAGGCCATTGGTCCCTTGATCTCTCTCCGGTCGTTTCTGATTGCCGTCCCATAAGACCATGATAGTGAGGGAATAGAGTATGCACCTGTGCTTGTACATACACTCTCGCATTATAATCCCGTCTGCGCTGATGGCTATTTTCCGTTGATTCTTACCACTGTAACAGACAGATGGAACGACAGATCTGAGATTTGATACTTGGTAGAGTCATGCTGCTGCTATACGTATATTGTAGCACAAATAAGTCGGCTTGACCGGGCAAGGACTGCTCTCTCATAGAATACCAGCGTAAAGAGCTCGAAGTCTGCTACGTTTCTTATGGTGAGTGTAGAGAACCGAATATCCATATTACTAATTTTGCATTCCATCTACAACATTTTGTTTCTTAATTGAACATAGATATACGAGTAGGTGTCTATGGGCCACAGCATCCATTTACCATCAAATGAACTGTGTGCTCGTGAATCACTCTTATTCAATTTAAAAAATGCGGGAAAATTATATATATTATACTTCTTCGTTATACACATATGAACAACGAATCAATCGATTCATAACTCTATTTTAGTTTTAAGCAGCTCATGAATTAGAATTGCAGTCTGTCATATTCCACAGTCTTACCTATCTTAACACAAATACAGCTTCCATTATATTCCAGTTTTAAAAGTAAAACCTATGAAAGCTTTATAACTAATATAATAATACCTGGGCGTCCGAAGTTTATCCGGTAGTAAATATATTTTTTCAGAGATTATACCTGTCTAGAAAAACCGTGTAAAGGCGGTGTAAAATGCTCACCCCAAATCGTCCCGTGATTATCGTAAGGGGCGACAGAGGATAACTAAACTAGTAAATGGGCAGTATCGGTATTATTTTCCTTATAACAACTCAAAATAATAAAAAAATTGCCAATCTGAGAGCATAGCGTGGCAACTATGGTAAAATTTTATACAAAACCGTTTCAGAGAGACCAGTTACTTATAAAAATATACATAATACTAGCTTGCCAGGCAGACGTTGTTCTGCCCTTTTCGACGACAATTTGTCATGTCCTATTAAATTGTGGGCAAAAAAACTATCCTATCTCTCAAGTTGGACCAAACTGCACACGGTGCGCAAATTGGATTAAAATCGGTTAAGTAGTTTAGGAGTCCATCGCGGACAAACAACGTGACACGTAATTTATATATATTAAGATTTTTCACTTTTTGTTTTATTTATTCAAAAAGTAAAAATAGTTTTGATTTATAAAGATAAAACGATGATTTTCTGTAAGAATACTGTAATAGAACCTTTCCGACCCAAGTTTGTAGTAACATAGCGTTACAAAAATGAACGCGGTGAAAACGAATTTTTCCATAAATTGACCTACTTAGATCGATTTCTCGCCCCCTTAATTCCTTATAATGTATACTTCATCGGAATCGTTAGAGACATTATCGAGAACGCGATTACAAAAAATATTATATATTGCTCATATAGTTAAGGCTTAATGTTAACCAAAAAAGGGTTTTAATTGACGTCAAAACAATTTTTTATCTACTTATCTATAGACAACATCATTTATATTTTCATTACAATGTTGTGCAATATGTCGTATACTTCCTTATTATTAAATTTGTTACCCTCTGTCGCCTCTCCGACATCCATGGGATGATATGGGGTAGTGCATATTTTTACAGTGCCACTACACGGCACTAAATTCATACATAATTTAATAGTAATTATTTGCTGGCATCATTATCATTATCCCCTCTATGAAGCAATCTATGGGGGAGGCCTGTGTTCAGCTTCCGCATGACTAATAGGCTGTAACCGTTACGGATTTCAAATGTTCGTTCTTCTATAGTCTGTGTGGTGAATGTCAAGGCAAAACACGCGTTTATTAATATATTTTTTGAGATATCTTTGTTAAAATGAGCATTTGTATGTAAAATACAGCTTATTTAATATACAAACTTAAAAGTGTAATGAGTTTTTTTTATAGAAGAAAACGAAGCAAACGAGCATACGGCTCAGCTAGTATTAAGTGACTACCGCCGCTCGTGAACATCTGCAACACCAGGGGAATTACAGGTGCGTTGCCAGCCCTTTAGAAAGGAGTAAGCTCTTTTCTTGAAGGAGTTACGAATACTAGGCGATCAATAGTTTGCTATAAATACGGAATGGTAATACCTAGGACAGAGTCCACAATCACAATCAGACCTTTATCTGGCCATTTCCAGTCGCCTCAGACAGCAATCACTGATGAGTTGCAGTGATGGTTTCGATTACATATAGTGAATATTTACGAAACAAAATCATCAGACGTGCTCTCCTTAGAATACTGCAACTTACATGCATCACTTAACACTTAAGGCATAAGAAAGTGACGAGCCCATCGCCCATTGAGATAACAGTTAAATGACAAAACTGTTATGTCGGCGAAGTCAGTCAGCATCTTGTCAAGAGGTGTGAGCGTCGTGCCACGGCAAAGTTGAGAGTGCAAAGGCTCGTTTGTGCTAATGACCGTGCCATAAAACGGTGCTGGGTCTGGGCGTCTCTCGTTAATTGACGCCAACTTTAATAGATGATGGAAAATAAGGAAATGCATGTAAGGCTGCTACATGGAAGTCGCCAGGGCGCGTCTGGAGCTGGCGCTCGATGTGGTAGCATGCGGACCACTAGCCAAAAGCGGGGTGCTGCATGAACACCCGGTAGCCCCTCGCATCTATTGTCCCCGCCAGCTATGTTGGTGTCGGCAGGGCCCACACGGACGAGCGTATTTTATGGAGAAAGGGAGATAAGTTGGAGGTTTCGCGTATTGGGCTAGGATGCATCGCTTTTTTTGTTGAACTAAAGCTATCTATCACCGTCACCGAGCAAAACCTGGCAGATCGAGTTGGGTACGTCATGCGCTTAAAAATATTTGATGACGCCGAATTCGAACGGCTACGACGTGAGCCTGTTCCATCATTAGATGGAAATACTACAGCTAGAGATCCAGCACCACAAGTTGCAGTACAACGCTCACTTACGGATGCCGCCGTGAATCTTCCAGTTGTAGTAGGTTCAGGCGATGATGGAGTAGTCGCCCATGAACTAGAACCTCGGCAGTGAAGACCAACCGGCTGAGGGTAAGAGGGAAAGAAAAAGAAACCGACGGACGATGCCAGCGGTATCGAGCACCACCAACTACACTTGAGTCCGGTGTGGTTCGTCACGGAGTCCCAGTCGCCTCAGATGGCCCGAGAGGTTGACCGGGGGTAGCCCGTTCGCAGAAACGACCACAGGTATAATTTCGGTCGACAGATCAACCACCTCACATGTCGGTCACCTCTCGAGCCAGATCCAGATATTTTGTTTGCTTATCTGTTTCAACTTTCGCAAGGTTCTCGTCATACGGAATGGTACTTACTTAAAATTACTTTGGATCCATTATAATAAAAAATAAAAATAATTCTTTGCACCAATCTCCAGAAGACCCCCCCTCCCCAGACCCCACCTCCATCACGTAGAGTCGTAAAGTTGCAAAGAAATTTATATTTTTATTTTTTACTTATACTTTTATTCTTTGGGGTATTTATATAGATTTCTCATCTGGTTGGGTTGTATAAATATATCAACGAAAACGATAAAAATACTTAAATATATATTAGTGTAGTAAAATGTATAAATAAAAAACACATAGATAAACATAAACTCAAAGAAGACCTCAGCAGGAGAGAAAAAACGGCGGAGGGTTAGGGAGAAAGGGAAAGAAATCGGCGGACAATGCGGGCGGTATTGAGGAGCACCGCCTTCTGCATTTGAGTCCGGAGCGGCCCGTCACGGAGCACCAATCCTCAGTTGCCTCAGATGACCTGAGAGGCCGACTGGCATTAGCCCGTTCGTAGAAACGACTACAGGAATAATTTCGGCCGGCAAACCACCTTACATGTCGGTCACCTCGTGCGCCAGGCCCAGATATTTTATTTCCTTATCCGTTTTGACTTTCACAAGGTTCCAAAAATATCCTTTATTGTGCCAGAACTATCAACACAATATCCGGCTTATTTGCAAGAATAGTACCTGTGTGTTTTGATGGTCCCAATAGAGTCTGGCACTATCATTTTCGAGTACGGCTACCAGCAAGTACTTTTAATAAGGCAGGTTCCGATCTACGAGCTCGTATTTGAGAGCGAGCTCCTGGTGTAGATGTGTATGTGCAAGTACTCAGAGTTAGAAAGAGCCGAACTACCGGAGATGACATGCCTGAGTGATTCACCGGGATGGCCAGAAGCTCGACAAATGTCGAAGGCGCCATCCTTTATATGTTTATAATTATTATTAAATTATTATTACTTATTATTAACTTAGGACGTAAATACGACGTAATATTACACTGAAAATGTGAAAAACTACCCGCGTATAAGAAACAAAATTGTAGGAGCTTGGGTGCTTCACACTTTTAATCATATAGACGTAAAAAAACGTAATTTTTGTTAACGTCCGTGGTGTAAGTATCCTTCGTAACCGTACTATGTCATGTCGTCCAATTAATAATGCCCTTAAGAAAATTTCTTAGGGGCCATTCGTCGTCGTGGATGTCGCAATAATAATTTAACCAAATGTAACTTATTAAGAGTTAAAAGTAATAGCTCAATGGCTAAGCATTCGTTATAACATTACGCGAACAACCCGAGTTCAATCCCTGCCGGCACCCATGAAATAATTGCAATTTTAAGTGCTTATATACTATACATGTTCGGCGATAAAGGTAAACATCGTGGGAAAGCTATATGTCTAAGAGATGAAAAAATTCAAGGACATGTGTCTATGAGTCCACCGACAGGCGCCAGCGTAATTGTACTATTCTCAGAAATGAGAAAATTCCTGTGCTAAATAATGAGACTTCTATAGGCTCTAACTTTAATTCCCTTTTTTAAAGTAAATTATTAAAAGTATGTAGTTGATGCGACTGCACTTCTTCACACAGACTACTCTCCAATAAACCTTATGCAGTAATAGTATATACCTCTATCGCAGTAAAATTTGCTGTAAACGTGTTGCTTGTAGAGCAAACGTATTGGCAATCGCTGTACCAGAGTCGCACTATTGACATAATTCTTTTCACCATTCTGATTATTCTATAGATATGGATACACCTATAATAATATCACCATTTATCGAAGGGCATAATTCTTAATCACATATTCCAGATCTTCTCCTGGGCATTTTCCTTCGCTTCAGACAACAACCACGGTGTGAATTAGGCTGATATATATGCTTACTTCGCCATCACAAATCATCAGCCCCCAAGTCCCAAGAATACGTCAGCTTACAAACATCACTTGGAAAATTTTATTGTATAACACGACTTTGGGAAATTACAGAACAACCTCTAAGCTTCCTCCATACAATCATCGGTCTGTGAAACTTGGTTCCAACATAAATTTATTAATATTTCTCCTACCATTTTGTCGCTGGATCCTTTCTGTCTAACGGGTGGTTACACAGCGTCTGGTTTAATTTGAAATATGGGGAAAAGCCGACAAAATGTAAACCAATTAATTTTTTAATCATAATAAATTGTTAATGACATAATCTTTTTGCTTACAAAAATATTTATGGATTTTTTATTTTTTTATGATATGTATAAATAAACCACTTTTGTTACAAAAGGACTCACATAAAAAGCCAATAACACGGATGACACTAGACATTTAAAACAAAAGTTTGGTTAAAATACAAAGAAAATAATACAAGTCTTTATGTTGCTTAAATATTGGTCCCAAATTAAGATTCAAGTTCAGAAATCTCGAAGTACTTTATTTACTAAACTTTAGATTAATACTTACATAATATAATTTTAATAAAAAGGCTGCATGCAAATATACATACACGATTTTAATTCCCTGAACACTTCATCCTTTGTAAAATCCTTGTGTTCAGTCACCTCAAAACCGAAGTTAGAAAATGTATCCTTTAAAACTTGTACATCTTTTTCTGTACCAAATCTAGGTTTAAATCCTTCAACATTTTCTTGATTGAATATAACAAGACAATTCTTTTCAAACTTCTCTAATTCGTACGTTGTGGCATGCTTTGATAAAGCTCTAATATTATAAGGTAAAAATTCTGCCTCCTGTGGTTCACTTGGCTCATATTCGTTCAATTCTTTTTTTTCATGAGGGTCGGGATCCATTATGCTTATCTGAGGCGGTGCTTTCATAATACCGTCCATAGTCACTGTTCTTTCTAAGCGATCAGCTATATCTTCACTTGCAATTTCACAGATTTCAACATTTTCTACTGTATCATTTACAACTTGTATTGTATCGTTATTAAATTCCTCATCTGCTGATTGGATTTCTTCTTCATTATCACGTTCTTCCATTTTTGCATCACATTCTTCTTCAGAAGTTAACTGATTTGTTTTAAAATTCGTTTGGCCTTTCCCTTTCCTTTTACCTCTGCGTTTTCTTTTCACATATCCCTCACCTATACCATTCCCAAAGAATCCATCTTGGCCGTGGCTATACATTTTTTTGTATAAAAACAACACTGACTCACTTTTTCACTCGCGATTATATGAAGACTGGCCGATTTATTACAAGCGTCGTTTGATCTATACGTATCTTATCAATTCGATAATTCAGTTACATGACAAACACTCTACAGGATAAAGACAATGTTATATAATTTATATATTGGTATTTTTTTTATAACCAATATTGCAAATAATAATGATACGTTCGTTAATCACTCCAAGTTTTTAACGCTTGTGTTGGTTGTTGTTCAATGACAGATTCGAATCTCACGAATTTCCGAGTTTTAAGTCTACACCCTAAATACTATAAACACCCTTGGGTGTTGTGTTCTGTTTTCTATCGTCTAATAGCATAACATAATAGCATATCATTTTAAATAAATCTGTATAGAATGGGATTTAAACTCTCGTCTAGACAAAACATAAAAAATAATGACCCCAGCGTTTTTTGGCAATTTTTCTCGTAGAGGTTTTTCTTTTGGAATCGATGGTAGGTTCATAATAGATATAAATAAGCATAAACTGAATATTTCTTAAGTATTCTAAGCCAGTGCTTGACTGCTATCTCACCTGATGGTAAGTATTAAAGCACACTGACTTAGCTTAACAAAATCCTTTTCACTCTTGCCTTATTGTTATCAGATGGAAAGACAGTCTATGCTAAATGCTTATTTATTTATTCATTATTTTACTTTACACATGACGTAAGTCACATAGGTGATAATACGTGGTAAGCCAATACTATTGACTTCACCCCTTCTTCAAAAAAATTGGTGAAGACTGACCGAGCGTCTAATTGTCCGATAGTGGAAGAGAAAGGGAGGAATTAAGTTATGCAAATTCTGTGCACACTCTCCGAAATATTTTCTTAACTTTAATCAGCAATATATAAACTAAGTATTCTGATTACTTATTTTATATATTGCTTTTTTATAGGATAGGGTGACAAACGAGCACACAGTCCACCTGATGGCAAATGGTTGCTGTGGCCCATAGACATCTACATGTATCATCGATTACGAATCAAAACGCAGATGCGTTATCACCCGTGAGTACTAAGATGGAATGCCTCGTTTCCAGTAAAAATAGTCTCCGGTTTTCTACACTCACCATACGAAAGACAGCAGCATAAACTACTATTTGACGCTGATATTCTGTGAGAGCGTGGTCCTTCCCCGGTCGAGCCGACCCATTCGTGCTACAACTATACTACTAACATAACGGCAGCATGGCTCTACCACGTGTAAGCTGCTAATTAAAGTTTGCTGATTAAAGTTAGTCCGTCTGACGAATAAAAATATCTTTTAAACATGTTGTGAAGTCCGTCAACATGATCGTGAGTCGTCGGACTAATTGCTGCATTAGGCGTACTGTGACCAGTAGTAGGACGTATATAGTCTGTATCTTTATTTTTTTTAAAGTAATGTGCCACAGTAGTTAGCCCCTGAGCTACCAAATCTTCAATCAAAGTTACTTTTATTTCACTCTCCGCGAAATAGACACAAGAGTTCGAAATGTTCATATATGATTTATGGTGGGACAGGGAGAGGGTTAATACCTTTAAATAAAACCCAATAAAATATCCACCTACATTTTATTATTATCGATATTAATAAATTATATTATTTTTATATAATTTATTAATATCGATAATAATAATAAAATGTATTCTTTAAAACTTGTTGTTGTTTGTTTAAAACTTGTCCTTTAAAACTTATTTTAATTATTATTATTATTATATAAATTCTGTATGTACCTTCTCTATTTTTTTTGAGAGTGTAAAACACCACATACAGGGGCCGGAGCCAAGTGTGTGAGGGAAATTTAATTTGTAAAATTGGATGATAGAGTAGAGGAAGTCAGAACTTTCGGGTGATGCGACAAGTGTTGAGGATGGTGGCTTTTTGGAGCATGTGAAGTGTATGAGTAGGCATGTGTAGAGTGTTAAGGCTTTGTGTAAGTAGCTTTGGTATAACACCGGTGGATGAGAGAACTATCGGGAGGATGAACATTTTGTGCTTTCCATTGAGTTTCTTCTACATTTGTTTGTTGTCATAATTTTGCCGTTGAAAGTATTTTTATTTATGGGTTAAATTTACATGTATAGCGTTATGTTTTTGAGGCACTGTAGATTTATTTCCAATTATAGCAAATAGAAAGCTTAATAAATTTTGTTTGGAATGAAACAAAGAAATATTACATTACAGTCGTCAGTTTCTCTAAAATACGAGTAAGTCCAAATATTAGATATCCTGCCACTCATTTTCATTATATACTTATCAATGCTCAGTACTATATTTTTAGATTTAGATGATGCAATAACATGACAGGTGTGGCGGCAGAGCAAGGGGCGGGGGAACAAGTTTCGATATAAATTGGTTGGGTACCGAGGTAATCCTGCCGAATAATGTTCGGCCGAATATTCGGTTCGGTAAAAATTTTACCGAACTTTCGGCCGAATATTCGTATTCGGTGAAATCCATATTCGGCCCATCCCTATTAATTTCTATATATTAGATTTTTAAAAACCAAAAAGCTGTATGTTAGTCCCAGTCATAAGGGAATTTAATTTTTTTTAACCCTAAAATAACTGTTTCTTTGAAATCAGAGCCAAACGTCAATTTTGTGCATTAAAATTCAAACATGCCTTGCGCCATACTTTTAGCAGAAAGAAAAAGAAGAAAAAGAATTAGCTTTCGAAACAGCAATAAATTGCTATTTTAAACTAGAAGGAAATTAAAAATAATTGAATCATAGTCTTGACGACATCCTTATTTTTCAACACAATAACGTGGTTCTAGATTTAAATTAGTCCAAACAAGGCTTAAGATTTATAAGCCGAAAAATAATTATTCTATGGTGGATTTAACTAGACTTACTGGCCCTATTACGTACAAGGGCGACGCCAAATGCAAAGCAACCAGTCTTCATTATCGTGCCGTCAAGAGCTCGTGAACTATACATATTGGAATTTGGACTGTTCTAATTACAATCGCCGTTGATGTTAGACTCGCAATAGAAGTATATGGATGTGGACAGTGTGTCAGGATCTTGCCAAATGGAACTCTGTAGTCTCTGCCTACCCGGTGACAGGCGTGAGTGTTTATATTTTACGTATTTAGCATTGTATAAAAAGGCCAAAGATGACCACTTGACATTTCTATTTACACGCACGAATTACGCGCAACCTCTTTCAATAGATTTGTCTCTTTTTTATTTATTTATTTATTTAAAACTTCATATACACAAGTGGTATATAGGCGGACTTAATGCCTAAGGCATTCTCTCCCAGTCTACCTTGGGATGATGCAGAGATAGAATGAAGTAGGTGTAATAAAAAGTTAATATGCGAATGCTAAAATAAAATGACAAAAAAATTGTAATACATGGAAATAAAATACATAAGATATAAATGGTACATCGCAAAAAATAGATAAAATTAATTATAATAAAATTAAATATAAGATAACTAAGATAATAAAAATGTATAATACGTAAGTACATATTATGATGTCAGATGTATATAAACTCATAAAGATATACAAATATACATGTTATCAAATAAATTTACAAAAATATATTAATATTCATACACATATATGTATATAAAATATATAATATACATAATAACAATAATATATATATATATATATATATATATATATATATATATATATATATATATATATATATATATATATAAAAATAAACTGTTACTATGATGATTCTGCCAATTTATTAAGTAAGTGTTCCCGAACCATCATCTTGAACGCGTACCGATTGCTAGCCGTCCTGATTTCGAGAGGGAGTGCGTTCCAAAGGAGAATAGATTGAATGTGGAAAGAAGAATGAACAAGTCCAGAGCTATGGGAGGGACATAGGAGAAGAAGGTTGTTCGTAGAGCGGAGGTTTCTCTCATGACTAGCACTAAGCAACTGAAAGTAAGGAGATAAGTAGAAAGGGGAAGTTGGAGACATCAGGATAGAATAAAGGGTGGTGAGTGCACGCAAACTACGGCGTTGACGAATAGGTAACCATTTTAATTGAGATCGATACGTGGATACATGGTCATACTTTCGAAGATTGAAAATTAATCGAATGCAGTTATTCAGAACACGGTCATATTTGTCAAGAAGATCTGCATTCAGGTCGAAATAACACACATCACCATAGTCGATTAGGGTAAAAATTAAACTCTGCACAAGCATTGTCTTAATTTCAGATGGTAGAAAATTTTTTAGGCGATAGAGAGAACGCAGGGTACCAGTGACTTTCTGGCTAACGGTCATTGTTTGGGCTTTCCAACTCAAAGTAGAATCAATTAATAAAACTAGATCCTTCACAGTGGAACACAATTGAATCTCAGTACTATTAAAAAAAATAGGAGGTAGAGTTACTGCTACTTTTTACTTTATTAGTGCACTAAGCATTAAAATTCAAACATGCCTTGCACCATACTTTTAGCAGACTCGTAACAGCAATTAATTGCTATTTTAAACTAGAAGGAAAATAAAAATAGTTGAATAGTCAAGATAGTCTTGACGACATCCTTATTTTTCAACACAATAACGTGGTTCTAGATTTAAATTAGTCCAAACAAGGCTTAAGATTTATAAGCCGAAAAATAATTATTCTATGGTGGATTTAACTAGACTTACTGGCACTGTTACGTACAAGGGCGTCGCCAAATGCAAAGCAACCAGTCTTCATTATCGTGCCGTCAAGAGCTCGTGAACTATACATTTTGGAATTTGGACCGTTCTAATTACAATCGCCGTGGATGTTAGACTCGCAATGGAAGGAAGGTTGGAAATATGGATGTGGAGGAGGCGAGAGAGGTGTGTCAG